TTTCTATGTCCTCTTTGAAAACATTTGTATAGTTAAGATATAAAACTTTTGACATAAGTGTTTCAATGTCATGAACTCTTATAGCACCACTATATAATAGTCTAGCAGATATACTATCCCAGTCTATATATTCTGCTTTTTTCAAAACCTCTCTCACAATATTTTTCTTATCTAATGGTATACGTTCCATCTTACCTATAGGTATCTTTTCTTTTAACTCTTTCAATATATTATTTGTGTCTGGAATATGTTTGAGACGGTCCATATAGTTGTCGAAGTCATTGCATATAATCTTTGAGTCAGGAAATACGGTATGACATAAATGGGATATATAGAAACTTCCACCGAACAAATCTACAAATGTTAGACCATTCGGTAGTTTCTTAAGTTCTCTCAATATAATATCTTTACATCTACTCTTATTTCCAAAGAACGGTAACGGCGGTTTTGTAAAATTCATTTATATATAATAATAAAAATGTTTTTTCCTGAAAAGTGACAAAAAAGTGACAAAACATGAAAACATATATAATTTGTGAAAAGCGACATAAAAAGTGACATTTTAAAAAGTGACACCGTTAATATGATGTAAATAACAACGGTTTTGGTTTTGTCACCGGCTGGTCGGCTGAGGTTCGGTCCTCCTCTTGGGTCTTGGGCAAAATTTCTTATGGGCTAGAGGGCGCAACGCGCCTGGAAGCCCCACCTACCTGACCTAATCTTGAACTGTTAATGATATCATTTCAAATAAAATCCGTATCAAAATTCAAAATGAAAAATCTTCCTTTTTATGAATTCATTGAATATATTAACTGTTATTAGATTCTCTTATGGCATTCCAAACGGGAACCGCGGTTGGTTACCATGGATTTCCGTCACCGGTCGCATTTTAAAGATTTTTAAAGCCTTATAAAAATATGCTTTGTAAATCATTTTTTGTAAATCGGCAAAAATTTGGTAATTTTCTTCAACTAATAAATCTGCGAATAGCATTTATAATACAAGAACAATCTTTTAAAATGCGTTTGATTCATTTTTGTATAATTTCATATAGGCACATATATTCTTCCGGGACTTTCCGTGATTTTACCGTAAAATCATTAGTTTACACCAATTTTTCCGTATTTTGAATAGTTTACTGCACTTTTTCCGTAAAATTGAGTTACGGGAATCCGCAAAATTTCCGGACCTCATTTTTCATAGAATATAATAATAATATTTGATAAAAAGATATATTATTTATATTTTTGATTTTTGAATTACGGAAAAAGTGAATTGATAACTTGATTTTTTTATATGGTTAATTTTTCAAATGATATTATGAAGATCTAAAATATTAAAAGTAAAAAATTGAATTACGGAAAAAGTGATGTCAAAAGTGAAATAAATTTGCAGAACAATTTTCATTGAAATAAGCTTTATTTTTCATTATTAATAACAATGCAAAAAAATATTTATCACGGGTTCAAAATTTAAAATTAAATATTTTAATAATTTACATCTTATTCTTTATTTTATATTTAACCCGTGAAAATATCATTTAAAAATTGAATATATTCAAAAAGCTTTATTTTTATTATGACTGCATGGGATCCTCATGTATATGATGAGTGGATTCCATTTAAGAAGACGAAATATCCACCAACTCCTGAAACATTGGAAACAAAGTGTGGGAAAAAATGTTTCACTACGATCGGCTATTATGAGAATGAGCCTAATCAATCAGACAAAAGAAGGCTCTTTACATACTATGCCAAATGTAGTGAAACATTAGTTCAAGGGCAGTTCGTGCGATGCATTAAAAAAAGCAGGAAAAATGATTTTAAAGATCATAAGTGCAAATTTTTACTCCCAATGCCCAACTACGTTCCTGCTGAGCACCAAGTTGAGAATACTCAGCAAGCAGTTGGCCCTGGTAATGATCCTTCGTTAGAAGAGATCATTGCCAGGCTTATTGCGAGCCTAGATATAAGCCTTTATGCCACAATGAAGCCAGCATTTAAAAGCTTCCTAGAGAGCTTCGCCAAATGGCTTAAAAATAAAGTCAATCGCGAACAGGGCATCAACTTTACAATCCCAGACATTGAGTTCACACGGCGCGGTGTCAGAGAGGCATTGATTACTTTAGGCAAAACAGACTCCTCTCGGGGCCTAAAGTTCTGCGAGGAATTCCGCATCTTCTAAATTTCCCTGGACTGCGGAACACACGGCAGCCGTCATGGTCTATTCTCTTGTGTGTGCAATCCAGGCAAAACAGATCGCCACCAATTCTTCGACACAACAATTTCGACTAATTGGACATACGAGGACTACCATACGTGGTTTGATTCTCTTAAGGTTAATAAAAACCACGTAGCTGGAGTAGTCGGAGATGGTTTGCCAGCCCAGGTTAAAGGACTCTGCCACTGGAGGCCAGAAGGAGCCCTTTTCCCTGGCTTACAAACCGTGTACATTCGTTGCCTTAACCACGTCTTGAACAATGCTATTGTCCACGCACGTAAGCAATGTCCATTGTTGAATGAACTGATGAATAGAGTTCACCAGATTATCATTATCTTTAAGAATCACGATATGAGAGCGAGATACAAGATCAGGGTTCCATCAATCCCGGAAACTCGCTGGCTCTACATATATGATACTCTGTTTTTCGTCTTTGATAATCTGGAAACAATTAATACTGCTTTAAGAAGTGGAGATCTTCCACTATCCCTTTCCAGAGCTACACGTGAACAGTTACAATGGACACGTGATGGAATTCCTCCACTCTTTAAAGATGCTTTAATGATATTCAAGCCATTAAAGCAACTTCAATTATGGCTGAATTCCAACAAGTCCATGGGTGCTTATGCATTCCTGATGATACAACAGTGCCAAGGGATGTTGGATGAAATGGCAGGAAGATTAACGCCAGATGGTGAAGAGATTCTCCGATCAATCACTACAATATTAAAAAATGATATGAAAGAATATGGTAGAATTGATTTGCTTCGGTTTGCTTTCGGCTTTACACCGTTAGCAAGGAAGATCATCAAAGACAAGCTATCCACCTATAATGCAGTTGAAAGATGTGCAAGTCCCAACGATTCCTTCCCTGAGGATCATCAATCGCGAGATCACATTTGAGAAACTCGGCGAAATCCTTGAAGAAGAACGAACAGAACGTGTTGACGAGGTAGCCGAGCATGATGAAGAGATCCGGCAAGCAGAAGAGGAACAAATGCTTAACGACGATCATGCAGCCGAAACAAATGCCGATGGTTCGAGGAATTCCTTGGTCTGGGATGTTGTAGATGAAGAGATAAAAGATCTATACACATTCATGATAACAATCCTCAGACAAAGAGCAATTGCCGAATCAACAGTTGATCCAACGATCAATAAAGACGATAGAGCCAAGGAATTGATTGATGCTTACGATTTCTTCATAGAGCAAGATGATTCCCATCTTATAAATGGTCATCATCTTGCTCAAAATGATGGCAAGTTTTGGTACATGAATGGCATAAAGCAACTAAAAGCAATAAGACCAATTGGAAAAAGGATGATGTCACTTTCGTGCAGTGAAGCAGATGTAGAACGTGTAATATCTGAATTGCGAAAGACAAGAAATTCAATGAACGAATCATGCAAAGAAGAATATGTAGCATGCCGCTTCTTCATCAAGTTGAATGATGATCAATTTGATATTTGATTTTGTTTTTTAATAAAATTTATTAAATAATTTGTTTTAAAAAGTATTATTTTTATTCGTAAAGATATTAGACAGAAGGTGGCCAGCCTAATGTCTATCAATCTTTAATATTAGTAGTAATTTCCCGCATTTCTGAATGATGATTGATTAGCTTTGTTGTTATTGATGTAAAACTGGATAAGTATTAAATAATTATATTAATCTTGGCCAGGGGACTGCTGATGGCCAGTCAGCAGCGGCCACTATGAATCATTATAATTATTTAATACCTAAATTGAGGTAAAAAGCAATAAGACTTGCCGAGCCTCATGCCCCTACCTCATATAAATAGAATCACACTTTAGTGAATCAACATCTATAAGAATGAAGTGTTTTGAAGCTGAAATAATATTGAATAGAAATTAATTTTTTCTGAAATTTTGAATGAAATTATGGGAAATAAAAAAATTACTAAATATTGTATTCATACAAATATATTATTTTAAAGGAAAAATAGATGCTGATAGAAACAATGAAAATTTTTGAAAACTTTACAATTAATTTATGTTCGTTAACCACAGAGCTTGCAATCCAAAGCTCACGTTAGACAACAAGAGTCATGAAGTCTCATACTAAGGGATATCCAACATATATTTTAATAATCTAATGTTTGTGACAAATATTCAACATAAAATTAAGTTTTCGTTTCGTTACAAGGCATTCATACTTTGGAGATATCATATTTAATGTACAGAAAAGTTAATATTAAACAATACATGCTAAAGAATTAATAAATAAGATAATAAAATAAATTTATACGTAATTACTTTCATTTAATATGCTTTATGCTGTATAATATTGATTAAGAGGCATTAAAAGGTTCCATAGTCTGCTTTTATAGGCAAGATTTTTGATAAAAATTTTAAATTTTGAAAAATGATGAGAAAAGGAAAAAAAAGGTAAATGAGAGCAAGAGGGGGGATAAAAAGAAAAAGAAAAGAAAGGAAAGGGAAAAATAAAAGAAAGAAGGACATATAAAAATTTAGATGCGCATTCTTAATGTCGAGGCGGCTTGCCGCCGAGGCGCGATTTTTTTAGGCCTCTACGGTAACCCGGCAATGTTTTTTTAAATCTTGTACAGCCCTAGATTCTCTGGACATCGCTCGTTTGATATAGAAAATCTTGAAATTAACACCAAAAAGAAAAAAGAAAAGAGTAAATCAAAAAGGATAAATTCTTTGGGTATAAACATATATTTCAATAAATACATTGAACTAAATAAAGCATTGAAAGTGATCGTATCATTATTATACCATTATAAAAATAGATTATGATTATTTTTCTTTTAATATTTTTCTCATTCTCGACACTAGAATTTCAACTGAAGAATGGAATATTAACAATTTCCTCAGGTGGTGAATTAGGAGAAGGAGCAATTTCATCAAAATATGAAATTAAATTAATTAAAAAAGTAACATTTGAAACAAATTCAGATACAAAAATCCAATCATTAGCATTTTATAATTGTATTTATTTAGAATCGTGTAATTTATCAAAAGATATAACTTTTATTTCATCTGATGCATTTAGATATTGCTATTCCTTGGTTGAAATTACTATCGATGCAGAAAATCAAAATTTTACAGTGGATAAAAACATCCTTTATAACAAAGATATGACAACAATCATCAAAGTTCCAGTCAACATGACACAAATTGATATTCCTACATCTGTTACAACAATACAAAGTCATTCGTTTCATTTTGTAAGGAAAATGAGCCGATTATATATACCAAAAAATGTTGAAGCAATTGACTCAGGATCATTTTTCGATTCTACAATTGATGTTATTGAATTTGAGAAAAATTCTTCATTAACAGAATTAAGTAGTAATTCATTTTCATACTGTAATATTCAACAAATCATACTTTCAAACACATTAACAAATATTGGGTCATATGCATTTGATCAAAATCAAAAACTATTCAACATAACATTTTTAACACCGAGATCAAACAAATTAACTATATCTTCTAATGCTATTTCAAACACAGTTATTGAATCATTTACGATTCCAAACAATACAATATTGGAAGCACATGCTTTAGATGCATCTAATTCTCTGACAACAGTTGAAATATCAGAAAATGTTGAATTAAAAGAAAATTGCTTTGCAGGATGCCCTAATATAATAAAATTTGATCTTCGTTCAAGCAGTAATATATTTATAGAAAATGAACTTATTCAAAATGGAAAATTATTGTATGCTACAAAAAATATAGGAAATAGCTATAATATACCAGGTGACACAACTATTTCAAATCCTCTATTCCAATATTATCAAAACTTAACAAAATTAACAAATGCTCAAAATAATACAAACTATGTTATCATAGACTCTGTTATATACAACTCGACTAGAAATCAAGTTATAGGTGCTGCTGGTGGACTAGAAAATATTACACTTATATATCGCGTCAGAGTTCTTGGCGATTATTGTTTCACATGCATGTCTAAACTGAAAACACTCACAATCAAAGGTGACATTGATTCGATCAACGAAAAAGCATTTTATCGATGTTCTATTGGCGAGCTGCATTTTAAACATGTTGGAACAATCGGAATTAGTGCATTCGAAGGATGCAATGCAGTAACGATTACATTTGAATCCAGTCCTGAAATTATTTCATCCAATGCATTCAAACAATGCAATATTCTTGAGATCACTCTGAGGGAAACGAACTCGATTGAATCAGAATCATTCATTTCTTCAGATTTGACAAAAGTTACATTCGAAGACAGTTGCATAGTTCCAACTATAGGTGATTCTGCATTTGAAAATTGTTACAGACTTAAAACAGTTACATTTCATCCTAAACTAGCAGGACTCGGCGAATCGGCATTTTTTAATTGCATGAGTTTAGAAGAAATAAGTTTTTCATCAGACATCACATCATTGTCTATTGGATCAAAATGTTTTTCTCGATGCAATTTTTCAACATTTACAATAGATAGTAAATTTTCTAATATATCATCATTTGCATTTTCAGGTTGTTCAAATCTTCGTGAAGTCAAATTTTACTCAATTCCACCATCTGTTGGAACATGTATTTTCTCATCTTGCAATAATCTTATCAAAATAAATTTACTAAATATTAATGATATAACAAATAGAAAGGAACAATTTAATACAATAATTTCAGATATCAGATCAAATATCAAAGAAATTTATTCAAATCTCAAAATATATCCAAAATCTTTGTTTTCTAACTTTATAAGTGTTGAGACTATTTCTATAGGAGCAAAAGAAATCAGCGAATCTCTTTTTGAAAACTGTACAAATTTGAAAATTGTCAAATTTTCTGGAGCAAATACTGGAGATAACAATCATAATTTTAATGTCAGAAAGCGAGCATTTTATAATTGCCAAAATCTTGATTATCATTTTCTTAAGGAAGTTAAATATGTTAATGAATATGGATTTTATGGATGTCAATTTCCAAAATCAATAGTCCTTCCCAGTAGTATTACAAGTATTTTATCACATGCATTCTCAAGCACAGGAATCAAAACAGTCAACTATTGTTCCACCGGACTTGTTTGTGTTGAAGACTCTTTTGATAGCAATGTCAAAGCATTTGTTACTGATTCATTCGAAAATCCTTCATTCTGTTCTCTTCCAACAACAATAATTGATAAATCAATATGTTATATTCCTTATATCTCTAAGAAATACAATGAAATAGTATTACGGCTTAGAAAATATCGTAATCATCGAATTGTTTCATCATTCGTTGCATGTAATATAATAAAATAAAATATTCTTCAATGTTGCGAATTAATTATATTTTTACTTCATGTATATGAAATTATAACTTTAATGATCAGCATGTGATCTTATTTGACAATAAACCCACTAAATTCAATTAAAATGTGAAATAATAATAAGACCTAAATTCATCCAAAATGAAGAATATCTGATTTTGAATAATGAAGTTATTCTCTAATAATAAATGCGGAGATACTGCTCTCTAATATACAGCAGAAAATGGATTTTCATATATTGCGTACAGTAATTAATAATGAATTATTTCGATTGAAATTCAAGATTGAATATTAATTCATAATAAAAATGTATTTGGACATTCTCTATTTAGCAATAAGTAATATAAACTATGAATATGTATTTTTTATTGGAAGATGTAGCAAAATATCAAATAGATTTTAAAGCATTGCTATTGACTTCAAATCGTAAGTATGTTATTAAACAAGCTTGCCATTCTAATCAACCGTCAAATGAATTCATTGAAGAAACTTCAAATAGTTTAAAAATCTGTTTTCATTGCATGCTTCAAATAAGCAGATCAAAAGATATAAATTTTTGAACATGTTCCTTCAAATATTATTCATACTTATTTCAATGATTTTATTATAATATTCATGTGATTGAAATTTAAACAAATATATGGACATGCAAATTTGTATTTCATTGTATGCATTAATATTTGATGGAAACATACTCAAATCATTATGAATAGCAGTTCGCATCATATATAAAATTAATTCTTTAATGAATATCTTTCCCATTATTTATTTACATTCGAAATTAGATATACTAAAAAGTTCACATAAGATAAAGAATTGATTCAAGAACCATTTTTCTGCCAATTTACAACTGCATTATTATATGTAATCTCAATTTGTTAAATTTATTTTTTCCAATTGCATCTTCACATCCTTTAAAATCATAAAAAATGCAATATTTATATATGACAAAGTAAGAACAAACGATTTTTATTCATGGCTTAAAGTATTAAACTTTAGATAGTAACTATATTTTCATTTATATCTATAACTGAGTTTTATCTTCTGAAAATTCTCCTGTCTTTGTAAAAGAATTGACCAAAACTATTTGTTTGTGGAATGCTCCGACATGTTGAATTATCAATTATTGTTGTTGGAAGAGAACAGAATGAAGGATTTTCGAATGAATCAGTAACAAATGCTTTGACATTGCTATCAAAAGAGTCTTCAACACAAACAAGTCCGGTGGAACAATAGTTGACTGTTTTGATTCCTGTGCTTGAGAATGCATGTGATAAAATACTTGTAATACTACTGGGAAGGACTATTGATTTTGGAAATTGACATCCATAAAATCCATATTCATTAACATATTTAACTTCCTTAAGAAAATGATAATCAAGATTTTGGCAATTATAAAATGCTCGCTTTCTGACATTAAAATTATGATTGTTATCTCCAGTATTTGCTCCAGAAAATTTGACAATTTTCAAATTTGTACAGTTTTCAAAAAGAGATTCGCTGATTTCTTTTGCTCCTATAGAAATAGTCTCAACACTTATAAAGTTAGAAAACAAAGATTTTGGATATATTTTGAGATTTGAATAAATTTCTTTGATATTTGATCTGATATCTGAAATTATTGTATTAAATTGTTCCTTTCTATTTGTTATATCATTAATATTTAGTAAATTTATTTTGATAAGATTATTGCAAGATGAGAAAATACATGTTCCAACAGATGGTGGAATTGAGTAAAATTTGACTTCACGAAGATTTGAACAACCTGAAAATGCAAATGATGATATATTAGAAAATTTACTATCTATTGTAAATGTTGAAAAATTGCATCGAGAAAAACATTTTGATCCAATAGACAATGATGTGATGTCTGATGAAAAACTTATTTCTTCTAAACTCATGCAATTAAAAAATGCCGATTCGCCGAGTCCTGCTAGTTTAGGATGAAATGTAACTGTTTTAAGTCTGTAACAATTTTCAAATGCAGAATCACCTATAGTTGGAACTATGCAACTGTCTTCGAATGTAACTTTTGTCAAATCTGAAGAAATGAATGATTCTGATTCAATCGAGTTCGTTTCCCTCAGAGTGATCTCAAGAATATTGCATTGTTTGAATGCATTGGATGAAATAATTTCAGGACTGGATTCAAATGTAATCGTTACTGCATTGCATCCTTCGAATGCACTAATTCCGATTGTTCCAACATGTTTAAAATGCAGCTCGCCAATAGAACATCGATAAAATGCTTTTTCGTTGATCGAATCAATGTCACTTTTGATTGTGAGTGTTTTCAGTTTAGACATGCATGTGAAACAATAATCGCCAAGAACTTTGACGCTGTCTATAAGTGTAATATTTTCTAGTCCACCAGCAGCACCTATAACTTGATTTCCGTCAATGCTGTATATAACAGAGCCCAGGATAAAATATCTTGGGTTACCTTGAGTATTTGTTAAATTTGTTAAGTTTTGATAATATTGGAATAGAGGATTTGAAATAGTTGTGTCACCTGGTATATCATAGCTATTTCCTATATTTTTTGTAACATACAATAATTTTCCATTTTGTACAAGAGCACTCTCATTATTAAAATTAGCACCGCCTGAATGAGTTATAAAGTTTGTTATATTAGGGCATCCTGCAAAGCAATTTTCTTTTAATTCAACATTTTCTGATATTTCAACTGTTGTCAGAGAATTAGATGCATCTAAAGCATGTGCTTCCAATATTGTATTGTTTGGAATCGTAAATGATTCAATAACTGTGTTTGAAATAGCATTAGAAGATATAGTTAATTTGTTTGATCTCGGTGTTAAAAATGTTATGTTGAATAGTTTTTGATTTTGATCAAATGCATATGACCCAATATTTGTTAATGTGTTTGAAAGTATGATTTGTTGAATATTACAGTATGAAAATGAATTACTACTTAATTCTGTTAATGAAGAATTTTTCTCAAATTCAATAACATCAATTGTAGAATCGAAAAATGATCCTGAGTCAATTGCTTCAACATTTTTTGGTATATATAATCGGCTCATTTTCCTTACAAAATGAAACGAATGACTTTGTATTGTTGTAACAGATGTAGGAATATCAATTTGTGTCATGTTGACTGGAACTTTGATGATTGTTGTCATATCTTTGTTATAAAGGATGTTTTTATCCACTGTAAAATTTTGATTTTCTGCATCGATAGTAATTTCAACCAAGGAATAGCAATATCTAAATGCATCAGATGAAATAAAAGTTATATCTTTTGATAAATTACACGATTCTAAATAAATACAATTATAAAATGCTAATGATTGGATTTTTGTATCTGAATTTGTTTCAAATGTTACTTTTTTAATCAATTTAATTTCATATTTTGATGAAATTGCTCCTTCTCCTAATTCACCACCTGAGGAAATTGTTAATATTCCATTCTCGAGACTCAGTTCGGGTGTTGAGCATGTGGCCGAAAATAGATAGAAAGAAATCAACAAAATCTTAATAAAAATAAACTATTCAATTGAAACTATTCTTCGAAAGAAAATCTCAGATGTTATGTGCTAAATCAATTTGAGCTATAATTGTCATGAAAAATAATGATTTGAATTAATTGAAAGTTGTGTTGGTTGTTTTCGGTTAAATTTAAAAAATTAAAGAAATATCTTGGGGATTGCAAAATTCCGATTGATCATTTTGTAAAGTTCACAATTCAAAACTCGATTTGTTCTCAAAAAAAAGTTTTTATTTTGAATGTGTCATCCATCCAATTATTAATTTTTTTTGACAGTAAATTATTCTAATTCATAAATGTTTGTGTGAGGGCACTGATAAGTGTATATGATTATTTTCGAATCAAATTTTCACTAAATTCATCAATTAATTTTTCAAATTCTTAACTTTTGCAGACTTTAATTACAAATTGAAACTTACTTCATATCTCCACAGTACATATTCGACTTTGAGTGTGATTTGAAGTTATTGACAATCCAATCAATGAATATTTCCGTTGAAGAGATTGATAATCTTTGCAGTCCATTTCTATTGGATTCTAGCTTGTATTAAGACAATTCTTGAAATTTAATATGAAAAAAAAAATTACTTCGAATTGACAATTTTGTTAGAATTAAGTCAAATAAAAAGCAAATGATTAATATTTTAATATAACAAAAATAAAAATAAAATAAAAATATCTCAATGAGATTTCTTCTTTGTTGAAGATTTCGCTGCCTTGTTGATACTAGATATCATATGTTGTACAGCAGATTTTGTGTTCTCTGTAACTGGTGATTCGGCGCCAAATACTTCATTTGCAACGCCAACAAGTTTCTCTATATCATAAATAAGAGCTCTAGGAGTTCTATACCATGATCCTTTCACTCTTTCCCTCAAAAGAATCAATGACATCGGAAATGAAATTTTTTCAATCGCTTCTTCATCAAATTTCTTGAGAGATACCATGGCAGGCTCCTTTCCACATGCAGAATCGATGACAGAGAGTGCTGTTCTCTCGACATTTTGCGTTAACTGAGGTAATGTCGGAAGAATTCTTTTTCTTCCAACAGAAAACGCATCCCAAGGAGAAATGGTGTTCTCGCCGCCATTATCATCCCATCTGACATGCACTGAGTTGTAAGGATGCTCAGAAATGTCTTTGTTGACTTTCGAAATTACGCCCCTCTGAATTTTGATCGTCGCCCCCTCAATATGGGCCACAGAAACTCTTGCTTGGGGGGAGAACCGAGAAATTGACTCGGAAACCGATCTGGATCTGGTTAGTGTATCTAAAAACCGTGTCTGCGTTGCTGGGATTGGATAAATTATCTGTACATTTGAAGCTTTAATTTGGCATGTAACCAAAATTCCAGCTTCATGTGATCCGATATCAGTAATGATACCTCTGACTGGTCCTTGAGAGAATGATCTGTCATCTGGTAATGGGAAATTATACTTTTCGCCTACTTCTTTATAAGCATCTGCTGCGATTACAATTTCGTCTCCAACTTGTGGAATGTAAAACAGCTCATCAGCAACTATAGCTGTTTGCCATGCTGGCCACCTGTTTGGAATCATATCAGTGCTTTGTTCCATCATCGTAAAATCATTGTCATCATCATCTCCGGCCAAACCTGTATCCAAATCCCATTCATCGCTTGTAGAGTCGATATCAATGGTTAGATCTCCATCTTCTTCTTCAGCAATAGTATCTTCTTCAAATACGACATTTGGACCACGTGGATTGTTCAAAACGTCGATTGTTACAGGAATATGTGTTGGAGGAGCGATGTTTAAGTGGTTTTCAGGAGCTACTGGCTCAGGATGATCATTTGTAATAATTCTTTGAACGAGAGCGAGCTCGTTTGCACAGTCACGGAGGAATGTGCTTTGTAACATGTTGATTGGTAAGTCTAATTCTCTAATATCGTATGTCTTTGGCTGTGGTTCTATTTTATTTCCTGCTTTATCGCAAATTAAATTATGTTTGTGACCAAATTCGTGTCCTTCGAAAAGTTCCATTTCTCTGACTGATTTTAATTCGAGTTTTGTTGGAGTAATCTTGAAAATTGCAACTCCGCCTTCACTATCGCTAGCATAGACAGCAGAGCCATCAGAAGCCCAGCAAGCTTCATTTAATGCTCCCATTGCGTGACTTACTGAACTAATAACCTCTAATTTACTTGCATCGACGAGAGCTGCATCTCCGCTTGTATTTCCGATGAAGAAGATATCAGAATTAAATGGGTGAGCAGCGATGCACGTAACTTCCTCACATAAAGGAATTTCTGGGAATGTTCCAAGAGGTTCGCCGGTTATCATATCAGCGAGGTAAAGATGGGTCGTACGAGCAATTACATAAACTCTCTCATTGATATCTGATACAACCTTGAGGATCTTGGCCTTCTGTCGTCCTGCGCCGTGTTTAATAGTATATTTGGTCTTCCAACTTCCGGATTCCATTTGCCAACATGCGACGGCACCATCGTCACCGCTAACTGTCATCAGTCTTGGTCCGTATTCTCCGTTGCCGAAAAATCCATGAGTGAACATTACGGTATCCACAAGGCTTTGGTGAAGATCCAGGATAGTCTGTGTCATTGTCTTGAGGGGAACAACCGTTACGTGGCTTGGTTCGGAAGAATAGGCAAGAAATTCGCCACCAGGAGAAAATGTGACCCAAGCAACGGGCCCTTTGCCTGGAGAACGAAGAATACGGCATGGGGGCTTGCCTTGTATAGCATCTGGTGTCGTCCAGAGTGGAACAGTGCCGTCTTCACAAGCTGCAGCGATCATTGAGCCACTGGGTGAGAAAACGGCGGAATGTACGACGTCATATGAAAAGTTTGCAAGTACCGATATGCATTTTCCTGTAACTAATGACCAAAGTCTGATAGTTTTGTCATGAGATGAAGATAGAAGCATTGTGCAAAGAGGATTGCATGAGATGTTTGTTATACATCCTTCATGACCAACTAAGCGTTTGACAAAAGCAAATTCTGGTAATTTAAAAACTTTTATTGAGAAATCATCAGAACCAGTAATGAGTACTCTAGACATTGGATCTATGTACATGCAGTATATAGAATCCTTGTGACAAACAACTTTGCAATCGTGAGAAATGAAAAGATTATTGTTTTTCGAAATTTTTGGAAATGGAGTGATACGCCTGAAAATACTAGGAAAATCATCTTCCGGACGAAGAGTTTTGATGAATTGGAAGAAATGATCGGGTGGGAAATTTGGATATCGAACTGTTAAAGCTTCTTCAATATTAGAACAATCTTCTGGTAAAAGCTTATATTTCTCGACGAATTTAGTTAGTTCTGAATATGTCTCAGGGAATCTATCTTTAAGATAGTGACAGAGAAGTACAGAAAGCTCTTTTGTAATGCTCCCTGTCTGCATATCTAAATTTAGGATAATAAAAGTGACTTTATTTTTTGACACGTAAAGTTTTTCATACGTTATTTATAAAGAAATAATATGAGTACAAAGGCACTTATTGAGTCTTGGAATAACGGCTGGTTAGCTTCTATTTCAGAGCCATATAAAGATGAAAATAACAATACATGGTTAGATGTTAAATTTTCACAGCCAACAAACACAAAGCCAATTCCAACACATTTCGTTTCAGTAAGATTTAGAGTAGAGGATGGAAAACCAGTTACATATCTCGTAGAATGTGATAAAACAGAGAAAGATATATCTTATCCTATCACAGATGCTACACTCAAAATGTATTTAAGAATTAAGTCTAAAGGAGGTGCATGTGCTGCCGCACTCGGACTGATTGAATAAAATTATTAATTGTGTTAGGTAATTTTAAAAAAATATTATTGCAATTTTAATATTTACATTTTTAAACAACTATGCTATTAACGATATATGAATACTATTGATAAATTGATAGAATACACTATGATAACTTATAAATACAACTAAATTCATTTTTTTATAAATATTAATATGTTCATAATCACTGATAATTAAGGATACTGTTTATAATAAAATTATAAGCTAATTCCGCCATGGTCTGCCTACTTCATTGTGATTGTTTAAAGCGAAGTTTCAAATTTCTCAAGCTTGCATTATGGGCACTCATGTGCCAAGAATGCTAAAAGGTGCATAGCGTCGATGCTCGATTCACATTTATTATAATTATTATTTTCTTTAGATTGAATAATAATTACAAACTGCTGCATTATGCCAATTTATTTAACATCTAGGTTCATAAAACTCAAATGAGATAACGTTACAGTCTTGTCAAAAAAAAATCTTGAATAATACAAGTATATTGATGAAAATTGTATTTTCATCGGCTTTTAATTGTTACTGCATCACTTCATATCCATGGACTTAATCAAAATTCATAAATTATATCCGAAATCTTTATGGTCATTGTTTTCTACATGTATAACTTAGTGTTTTTTTCTTCTAATGAATTTAAGGGATAATCCATATGGTAAAACGCAAATATGTTTTTTTTAAAAAATTATTAATGTCCGAACAAGACGTTGATCCAAGCAAATACAACAAATTGCGAAGTATCTGCAAATACTATATCGATTCATATCTTGCATTGTATCGGCTAAAAACGGAAAATGAAGAAGAATTAAAGTCAATTTACAAAATGATCAAAACAGAATTGATTGATTCAAAGAAATATCTTCCCACAAATGCTATTGAAGACATTTTAGATATCATTCCGTATAATAATCGCTATACAAAGTCATATTTATTTCTTGTCAAACTCTTATCTGATGATTACCATATCACAGGCAAACCCAAATTTTAGCTAAAAGTGACAGGGAAAAAACGTTTAGTATTAAAAAAAAAGACCGATGAGAGCTTCGTTCGAAATATAGAGGGAACTGAGAATGCGCAACCATTCTCAGGGAATATTGGATGCTATTCCCGTTCCCTCTGTATGGAAAATTGAGGTTTTCAAAGGGAGTTAAAATAATATCAAATTTATACTAATTTACTTCAAAATACAAAAGTATTTGACAGCTAAAATTAGTTACTTTTAGGGCTGTACAAGATTTAAAAAAAACATTGCCGGGTTACCGTAGAGGCCTAAAAAAATCGCGCCTCGGCGGCAAGCCGCCTCGGCATTAAGAATGCACATCTAAATTTTTATATGTCCTTCTTTCTTTTATTTTTCCCTTTCCTTTCTTTTCTTTTTCTTTTTATCCCCCCTCTTGCTCTCATTTACCTTTTTTTTCCTTTTCTCATCATTTTTCAAAATTTAAAATTTTTATCAAAAATCTTGCCTATAAAAGCAGACTATGGAACCTTTTAATGCCTCTTAATCAATATTATACAGCATAAAGCATATTAAATGAAAGTAATTACGTATAAATTTATTTTATTATCTTATTTATTAATTCTTTAGCATGTATTGTTTAATATTAACTTTTCTGTACATTAAATATGATATCTCCAAAGTATGAATGCCTTGTAACGAAACGAAAACTTAATTTTATGTTGAATATTTGTCACAAACATTAGATTATTAAAATATATGTTGGATATCCCTTAGTATGAGACTTCATGACTCTTGTTGTCTAACGTGAGCTTTGGATTGCAAGCTCTGTGGTTAACGAACATAAATTAATTGTAAAGTTTTCAAAAATTTTCATTGTTTCTATCAGCATCTATTTTTCCTTTAAAATAATATATTTGTATGAATACAATATTTAGTAATTTTTTTATTTCCCATAATTTCATTCAAAATTTCAGAAAAAATTAATTTCTATTCAATATTATTTCAGCTTCAAAACACTTCATTCTTATAGATGTTGATTCACTAAAGTGTGATTCTATTTATATGAGGTAGGGGCATGAGGCTCGGCAAGTCTTATTGCTTTTTACCTCAATTTAGGTATTAAATAATTATAATGATTCATAGTGGCCGCTGCTGACTGGCCATCAGCAGTCCCCTGGCCAAGATTAATATAATTATTTAATACTTATCCAGTTTTACATCAATAACAACAAAGCTAATCAATCATCATTCAGAAATGCGGGAAATTACTACAAATATTAAAGATTGATAGACATTAGGCTGGCCACCTTCTGTCTAATATCTTTACGAATAAAAATAATACTTTTTAAAACAAATTATTTAATAAATTTTATTAAAAAACAAAATCAAATATCAAATTGATCATCATTCAACTTGATGAAGAAACGGCATGCTACATATTCTTCTTTGCATGATTCGTTCATTGAATTTCTTGTCTTTCGCAATTCAGAGAGTGGGGGACAAACTCGCCCATTGTCACTTTTTCATTAACCTTAAACTTGTAATTTTCATTATTTTTAATTAACCTTATTTCTTTCCCAATTCCTGATTTATTTTATTCACTTACTATTAAAAGTCACATTTTAATAAAATATAATAATTTATTTATAGCATTTTTAGTATACTGTAATAAAAAATTAATTATAATAAATTAAATGTTTATTAAATCAAATGTTTTCTTTGCAATAATATTTTTAATGTTGAGTAAACAATGTTGGGATCAAGTGTATCATTTTTCAGACCTTTCTGAACAGCTTCAAGCATACTGATGCATTCGACTTTTTTAAATTGTGTCATTTCTTCGAAATCTCTTGTGACTTTTTTGATAACTTTAACACTTCTCTCTGAATCCAGACCTTTAATTTGCAACTTAATCAGGAATGAAGGAACAACACTGGAATATAACTCGATGACAAGTTCATCGAGTCGAAGATTTCGCCTTTCTGGGAAGTACTGGTGCTTCAAAACCTTGAAATGTGATTCCGAGAGTTAGTATGGCTAAGTCGTGTACGGAGACACTGCGAGCCTCCTTACCCATTATATGTGAATTTGACACTTTACAAAACCGTTAACGTATATTTTACAACACAAACGACAACACCAACTTAACCTTAAATATTTACAAAGCCGCCAACCACTTCACTAACGAACTCACTAATGTAAAAATAAACGTTCTCACTTACAAAAGTATTGCAACTCCTCCCATTGCTGTGCTTCATATAACAGCTCATAATCTTCTGACTCACTTTCTTCTTCATATAGGTCAAAATCACTGTCATAGTTTATACCTGTAAGTTTTGACAAAGCTAATGAAACACGTTTACCGTTTGTATCGTATGCTTGTATAAACTTTCCATTCTTCATTCCTTCATAAACGCTCAAACTAACTTTACCCTTTCTCCCTCGTATCTGATAGAATGTATTTTCACGAGGAACGAAGAACAAATTCTTGAACTCATGACCGTTGTAGTTTGTTATCTCAATAGTTTTCGTCATTTACATCCAAATAAAAATTTTCAGTAAAATAAAAAAATAAATGATATCACCACTCCCACACGTATGAAAACATAGCGCAAAAATAAATTTAGGTGAAGCGGTGAGATCTCACCTCTTTTTTCACCTGTTTTTTCACCCTGTTGAATTCATTGTTTTATAACTCTCTTCCTTGGTTTCTTTTTAGTTGCTTTCTTCACGTCTGTCTCCAACTTGACTGTCTTTCTTCTTCGGCCGTAATGATACCAGTTACTTCCACCAGTCAATGGGTTAAATGGTCTTTCATAAGGGTTTCCATACATTCCATAGGGACCATACGGAAGAACTACTGATGGAGGAAGAGTTCCATCGACTCTATTTAAATGCATTGTTTCACCTTTCATCTGGTCATTAAAGTCTTTTGCGTGTTTTGCAAACTCATCGTCCTTTCCTAAAGCATTTTCTGACTCAGTCGCAACCAAATTGGATGCTTTATTTATGAGCCCTATTTTATTTAATCTTAACTTCTTTGCAACCCAACCTCCAATCTTTCCTTTATTTGCATCTAATGTCTTCGAAACTCTTCCTCCACTCATTTTATTTACTGCGTCATAAGCTCCAAGTGCTTTTGCTCCAAATGCTAATGCTTTTGTTCCCATTGCGCCTAAAGCTGCCCAAGCTACCATTTACACCATATTAAAATCATCTCTCTTCAATATTATCTCATAAAAGTTCTCGTTACTGGAGAAAGTCAATGAAACATAAGCGTTCTCACGGGCTTCGCCCTCACCGCTTTGCGGTCTATCTAACTTATTTCTTATCATCTATACGCTTCAAAATGTCTGAACAATTGCTAACATCTTCTACAACAGTTATTTCATCATGAATGACCTTCAAGAACAAGCTCATTTAATATGCTATTAAAATCATCTCAATAATGAGTCCATCCTTTCCATCTTTAGGTAGCACAACATCTTTCATTGAAGAAGGTTCGACAAGTCTTATGTTAAACTTACTGACAAAGTTTGTTATACTATAATGCTTCGGTGGCGAATACATGTAGTTTGAAAGACATAATATAGATTCTTCAGCAAATTCACTTATACTGGATTTTATAACAATGTTCTCACGAGACCAAATACCACCAATTGACAATCTTGTAAGCAATCCTGCTGAACCTTCAACTGTAAACGTCGATGGTAACATTCCACGAAGGTCATCTATTGACATCGTTGAGTCACTGAATTTAAATATTTTCTTAAAGCAATCGTCATTATCTAACCATGCAATAGCTTTGAAGTTTTCATTCGAATATACATCTGCTTCATTAAATGTAAAACCTGACTTCTTTGCAGAGATGACTTTAAAATCTATTGAGTTTGTTTCAAAATTATATGCTATGGTAACTTCTGAAGGTAATGGATGTCCTTCCGCAGTCAGTTGTTCTCTCACTACCGTTTGAAGCTTTGTGTTAAAAACTTTCATGTCATCTCCTGTGTCTAGGTTCACATACACAGCA